CGTCAGAGCCTGTTGACAAAGCTCCCCCCTCCCTTATCTTGTTGAATTCACCTCACCCTGTGGATCTAACACTGCTGAGGATCCCACAGAAACTCCAGTCCTGGACTGTGTCCCTCCCTGCCAGAACCCCCTGGGAAGGCCAGAGCCAGGCATGATGTCTGCAGCTGGGCCTGGGGGAGGGGCCATCAGGAATGGGGTCTGAGACACTCTGGTCACACCCTTGGAAGCAGCACAACGGGGTCCCTGCAAGCAGCCAAGAAGCTACAAAGATCACCCAGCCCCACTGCCCCGGCCACATTCCCTCCAGTCCTCTATAGCCAGGTGCCACTCTGCTCTGATTTCCTTCATTTTTTTCCCCTTTAAATCAATGGACTTAAAAAAATCATCCTAAATAATAGAAACTATAAAATCGTAGGTGTGATATGCTAGTTTTTTTATTTTTCTAATACATATCAAAATTTTTTTTAATGTAGTTATTACAGTAACAAATCCTTAACCATATACTACACAGAGACGCATAGAGCCCCCTGTGTGTGACATGGAGCTCACCACACGCTGGAAAACCTGGGGTCCATTCTGTGCCCAGGCAGTGGGGCCAGGGCCAAGAATGACACTGTGGCACAGGTGCCCACAGAATGAGGGATTCTGTTTGGGATTAGCGGCCAGACTTGCTACTACAGAAGGCCAGCCTGGCGAGTAGGTGCCTGTCCCTGAGGTGCCGAGATGGGAAGGCTGGGTGGGGTCCCAGCCCCTACCCAGCCCCACTGTTATCAGCTCTGTCACCCTGCACTTGTCACTTTGCCTCTTGTGTCCTCAGCTTCCTCGTCACTACTGTGGGGCAGTGACCCCTACCTGACCCCTGGGCTGCCATGAGCACAGGCCTGGCTTGTCCCATCGCTCAGTGTCCCTGAGGGCCCTGCCTGACATGAGCCGGGTCAGGAAGCCTCTCAGACTTCCCGGCAACCCCTGTGTCTGTCTGGACAGCCAGGCATGTATCATCCAGCCTCATGGCCTGGAGCCAGGGGCCGGTGCCCTGACCAACCTGGCCAGCCCTATTTTTCCCCTAGGAGGTAAGAGGCTCCTTCCTTTTCCCATGGTCTGGAACTGCCCCCACTGCTTCCAGTGCAAGAGATACTGGCCTGAGCTGGCAGTGAATCTATATCTGCCGTAGAGGTACGCTGCTACCACACCGAGATGGCAGCTTATGGAGCGAGGTCTCGGGGTCAGTGTTAGCCTCCTGTGACTCTAGACACCAGAGTAGCTCAGAGTGGAGTGACACAGCTGGCCATCCAGAAAGGGCCTACTCGGGTCCAAGTCACCATCCCACCAGCACCTGCGGAGGCCCGCTGAGTGCTGGAAGATGTGGCTCAGTCCTGGGGAGCAGCAGTGTCCACAGCTGGACCCAGGACAACCAGCCTCTGACAGTGACAGAAACCTGTGTGGGGGAGTTCGCAATAGAGCAGACACTCTGGCAGGGTTCACTGTGATGTTGGAGGTGAAGATTCAGGATACCCAAGGAGTTTTTCATCTCTCAAATTCCGCAAGGACACAAAGCCCTGGACCTTGGCCTCGCAGGTCCTTCCATTATCCGTATGGGAGGCCCATCCAAACCCTGCCTTCTGCCTTTATGTCCTCCCTCCAATTCCACCTCGTCCCACACCCTTGCCCAGGGCCACAGACTGCCTTCATCACTCCCAGGGCTGCCCGGCCTCCAGAACCCAGACAGGCACCCTGATCTCATACCTGGGCTCTTCTCTGGACCCCCCCCCCCATATCTCCTCTTCCTTTAGGGACTGGTCCTACCTCCAGGGAGAAACAGGCACACCTGCCTCAGCCTCCCACCTCTCCAGTTGGCTCTCACCCCTGAATCCCCCTGATCTAGTCCCTCCTGGCCCAGCCCACCCTTTACCTCCCTCACTCCCCTGCCTCTCCTGCTCTCAGCAAGGGGAGCACCAGGCAGGTGGCATCAGTGTCCTCTAAAGACAGATCTAGGGGCTGGAGGTCTGGGCACATTAACTCTCAGCCCTTCCATTTTCTGGCTGTGCAACCACTTCTTGCCCTGTCTGATTGCTGCCTATATGAAATGGGGGTAGAGCCTTAGAGCAATGCTGTGGGATTAAAGGAGCCTATATGTGGGGAGAGCAGGATTCCTCCCCATCAGCACTAAATCAGAGCTGGCAGGCAGTGGGTGTCAAGGCAAAGTTCATTTACCAGGGATGCTTGATGGGAACTGGCATAGGAGCCAAGGTGCTCTAGCATTTGTCCATTCATTTCATTTGGTCATCTGGTCATTGGCTATTTGTGCTCAGCACCTGTGCTGTGCCAGCCTATCGCAGTGAGCAGTGCAGTCAGTGGGCAGTCAGATGGGTTCTTGCCCTCTTGGGCTCTCTGCCTGATGATGGGGGAGCCATCTGCACAAAGGCACCAAAGTGAAGGCACTGATGAGCCGTGACTGCCTCTTGCCTCGGGAGGTGGGTCCGTGCCTACCTGTCTCAGGATCTCAGAATTGGTCCTGGGAGCCAGGCTTAGATCTGAGCCTGGAAATAAGGGGCCCTCAGGTGTGGGGAGGAGGGAGATGCAGCATGGAAATTCTCAAAGCAAGGCTTGTCGACCATATACAAGAGAATCGCTGGGGAGTTCTTAAAATGCAGATTCCTGGGTCTAGCTCAGGAGGACTGAATTAGAGTCTCTTGGGGTGGGGCCCAGAGATGTGTAGCTTCGGACACATTCTTAGCTGGTTCTGATGTGTGCTGGAGGGCCAGACTTCTGCAGTGGGTCAGATCACCAGGGAGAGGACACTGATGCTTTAAGCCTGGTGGGATTAGTGCCCCCAAACAAACTCTTGCTCCTTAAAAAAGCTGAGAATTTGCCGTCTGGGTACCCCAATGATCCCCGCAGACTGTACCCATCTCCTGGTCCCCAGAGTGAAAAACTGCAATTCAGAGGACCCAGCCTGGCCACCATCTAGATCAGGAGTCCCCAGACTTTTTAAACAGGGGCCCAGTTCACTGTCCCTCAGACCGTTGGAGGGCCGAACTGAGGGCCCCGGGACAAGTTGGCTGCTAAGCAGGACAGGCAGCATCAGCAAAAACACCGAGCGGGCAGGATAAATGTCCTAGGTGGGCCGCATGTGGCCCATGGGCTGTAGTTTGAGGACGCCTGATAGATGTCAAGATGAAAAAGGAAGAGGCCTGGGGCAGACAGTGGGGAAGGGGCTCCGTTCACCGCCACCTACTGTGTGCAGGCTTCATAGGTGGGCTCTGGATTTTGAGCTCCTCCACTGGACAACCTTTGGAGGGAAGCATTTCTTCTTCCAGAGGAAATGAGGGAACGGGCTGGGCAGCTGTTGTGGTGGGGCAGGATTAGAACCCAGGTCTGCACACCCGAGAGTTCTGGCTCTGGCAGAATGGCTTTGGGTTGCTGTGCTCTGCACTATACTTCATTTCCCAAGCTGGATGAGGGGTGACCTCCTGTTCACCTCACAAGTGTCCATCAGCCCATTTCCAGTCCCCTCCAAACCTGCCCCAGTGGTGTCCTCTTAGAGGGCATGGGTCTCCAGAAGCCTGTTGCAGGAAGCAATTTCCCAGGTTGCTGCCCTCTGGGATCAACTTTGGGAGAATTGGTGGGTGGTCATGTGAAATGATAATTCTTAAAAGACAATATAATCCTAACTCATGTGTATACAAATATAAAATGAATACTTGCCAAACATCTTATTTTATTAGTGAGACAATCAGTAAGATATTATTATTGGCTCATAAAATTCAAAGTACCATACTTATAAGACATAATGGTAAAATAAATTTACAAACATAAAAAACTGGCTAAATGCAGTGAGAGAATGAATCAATCATAATATTAATATATTTTGGCGGAACAGGAATCATTTGCATTGCTACCAATTATCTGCAGCTTGTGGAGCTGCAAAATAGCTCAAAGACAATAAATGCCCCTGAGACACCACAGAGTCAGAAGGCTGTGCTTAAACCTAGTTGTGCATTGAAAACAGTGATCTTTTTGATTCGTTTCAAAGTCTTTCAGTTCCCAGAAGTGGGCCACAAATCTGACCCTGAGCTTCCTAGTAGCCTTCAGTATCTATTAGGACAGATGCCACGTATGAGCTAACTGTTCACAATAAGTTCAGCCTCTCACTGCACTGAAAGCAGATTCTCCTGACTCCTTGGGACCAGCAACCAAAGATGTCTAATACATGAAGGAGGGACCTCATATGCAGAACACAGGGAGGTGGAAGCAATGTCCTCAACAATATTTGTGCTACACACACAGTGGTGACTGTGGAGCTGCTTCCATGGGCCAGGGCAGTTGTTCTTGAAGCATGGTCCCAGATCAGTAGCATTAGCAACACCTAGAGCCTTAGAAATGCAGATTCTGAGGCCCCATCCCAGACCTACTGAGCAATCTGGTTTATAAGTCCCTCTGAGAGATACAGATACAGGCTGAAGTTTGAGAACCATGGAACATCACATTAGGATTACCTGCAAAATTTTCATAAGATATCATACTTAGGTCCTATTCAGACCAATTCAGTCAGAATCCCTGAGTGTTGGACTAGTTATATATATTTTTAAAGATCCCAGGCAGCCAGGAGGGAGGGCTATTGAGAAGTTTAACACAAGCTGAAGCCAAGAGATATGCCATCTCTACTCCAAAGAAATCCAGACCTTCTCTTGCAAGGCCTATACGAGATGATATGTATGCCTGCCTTCTTCCCTTCCTTCCTCCCCTCCCTTCCTTTCCTCTTTCATGTCTTCAGCGCTGACTACTCACCCTGTAAATGGCAGAGTCCAAGACCCTGAAGATGAAAAGGGGCATTAGACACCATTGGTTACTGGTCCCAAAGTGTTGACACATGATGGAAACTTGGGAGGTGTTTAGTGGGAATTCCAGGCAGGCAAGAGTGTCAGGGATGGGGACAGGATGGTGGGGCAGCCCTTGGTCTATGTTCCATCCCAGTCTGATGCTGCTGCTCTTCTTAGCAGGCTGCATGGGGCTGTGGGACAACACGAGCTGCTGGCCCTCCTCTGCGCCAGGACAGACTGTGCAAGTGGAGTGCCCAAGATTCCTCCAGCTGCTTACAAGCACAAACGGTAACCATTCATCCCCTGGGGCTTGGCTGGGAGGCTGAGGGGTGGTCCCTTGTGTGGGGCCTTAGCCTAGAGGCAGGAAGCCGAGGAACCTTCTCTGAGGACAAATAGAGGATGAAATGATTGGGCGATCGTTGTTCTTCCTTCCATATGTCATCCTCCTTAGCAACCAGGGGCTTTGTGCCAGCCTCTGTGTCTGGATCCCACTCTGGGCTTCCAGAACACTTCCTTCTCTGTACCCATCTGCCAGGCCCTGCTGGGGAGGGCCTCCCTGAGGAGCTCCTGGCCTCCTGGGGAATCTATTAACCCCAAGCTGTCTTAAGGATTTTCCTAATTGATTCACATTGGTTAAAGGTCGACCATATGCCAAGTATTTTTATAGCTCATTTAGTCATCACAACCCCCTGCAAATCACATACCTTTTCTCTTGACCTACTAAATCACTTGATCCAGTAAAGAGTAATAATAACAGGGACAAGAGAGGCTTAGCAGTTTGCCTCCAAGTCCATAGCAACAGGTGGAGATGTTAAGACTCAAACCTGATTTCTCTGACTTCAAAACCAGTGCTCTGTCCTCAAGGTCACAGTCAAGGCAGATCTATTGGTGTATGGTCAGAGTGACTCTGGATTGAGGTAAGGTAAGTTCCTGGCTTTAGGGCCTGTCCTCTGTGGGGTCCTTTATTATCTAAAGGCTGCCCTGACCTAGCCTGCTGTCCTTCCTTTATCCATGCAAGACAGAGAAAGCTGCTCAATGAAGCCCTGAACAGGAACAAACTAAAGAGTGAGTGGTTTAACACTAAAATCCATCAGTCTTCCAAAACTGGGCAAGGCCAAGGTGACCATGGGTCAGAAATGGTGGGAGAGAAGCATAGATTCTTCTCCCCTGTAATTCTCCAGTGCACATGGGCACACATTTGCGTGCCTGTGAGTGCACACACACACAGATTTGGGAAACATGTTGCTGGCATTTACTTGCGCTTGCAGCCACACTCAACACCCCATGCTGTGGGAATCAGGGGTTGAGGTAGACAGGTCAAATCCCACTTCTCCACTTACTGGTTTGGTAACACAAGCTGTAACAGACAAATCCCCCAAATCTCAAAGCTTTCATATGATGTCCATGCAAAAATCCCAAATAGGCGATGCTGATAAGCCAGGTTCTCTCCTCCACATGGTAACTCTGGTCCTGCACCTCATAGCTGTGGCCGCAACACACAGCTTCCAGGCTGACGGGGAGGGGAAAGGATCCAGAAGATCACACAGGGGAAGTTTTGAAGGGTCAGACCTGAGAGGATGCCACTGTGGCTATATTCCTTCAGCCAGAACTCAGTCATGTGACATATAAGTGCAAGAAATGTCATCTAGCTGAGTGCCAGTCAGCTGCAGGGCCTAAGATACTCATTGTCTCTGAGGCTCAGTTTTCTTGCCTGTAGAATGGAAAGAATAAATACTTGTCTTGTAAGGCTGTGCTTGGAAATAAACTTTAAATATCTTCCTTTGTCTCTTCTCCCCATCTTTCTGTCTTTTTTCTCCTCATGCCCCCATCCCGCCCTGTTCTGCCCCATCCCACCCCATTCTGCCATGCACATACCTGCGAAATTGTCAACGTTTGTTATCTCTTGTCATGACCCCTCCATGTCTATCTATTGGGTCTGGAAGCTCAGGACACAGGACAGTAATTCAGACGTGGCTGACCTGGAACAACAGGTCAGACGTGGCTGATCCCATGAAAGGCCAGGGCCAGAATCTGGTTTCTGACTCCTGCCTGGGGCTCCTCTATGGCTGACTGGGTGTCTCTCTTGCTGGAGAGAACCTGAAGCTCTGCCCCACCTTCACAGCTTTCCCTGAGCCATAGTGCCTCCACCCCCACCGCAATTCCTCCTTCCCTTCTGCGGGGGACTAGGCAGAACCGTGCTCACAGACACAACGCAACCAGGTGCCAGTCCTGTCACATCCCTCCCCAGTTGATTGTTTGAACCCTTGCCTGCCTCTTTAAGAGTCCACTGCCTCCCTCTTGAGGATTTCCTACCCTTGAATTGCTGGGGGTGGGGGGGGAGAACCCCAGGGGGTCAGTTTCTTGTCTGCACACCTTGAAGATGGAAGGTGGGGTCCCATGCTGGCGTCTGTTGCAGTTTCTCCTTGACGCCACGTGGTGGCGATGTAGAACTGCAGGTCCACTCAGCCCGGCTTACTGGGCGCTGGGCGCAGCTCCTGGGGTGGTGGACGTTGAGTGTCTCACCCCTGCGGGCCATGCTCCTCACACCTAGTCTTGGGGTACTGACTGGCCATAAGCATAGGTCAAGACCTGTCCAGCTTGATTTGTCACCAAAAGCTCCTTCCTATCTAGCTCACCTTCCTTCCAGGATTTAGAGCCTGCCCTTCACCTCCTCTCAGGAAGAGAGCTCCCCTGGGTGGCGTCTTCCTTCCCAGGGCCAAGCGCCCTGTGAGGACAGATGGTGCTCTGAACACTTCCTTTTGAAAGGAGAAAAAGAACATTCAATTTTTTTTCAGAGCACCTACTACATGTGCCCAGATCAGGCTGCGTGTCCCGTGACTGGGGAACCTGCAGGCTGGACGCTGCCCCCAGATGTTTCTCTGTTCCCTCTAGGATGCATTCCTTTGATTCTTAAAAGGCCACTGGAAGCAGGGCTCCTTATTAAAAAACACATTTCTGGGCGGGGTCAGGCCCTGGCCTCGTTCTCTTCTGTCTTAATGGGGATCAGGATTTAAAGCAGTCGTGGTGGTTCCTAACCTGATTAGGGTCCCAGATTCTTTGGAAAATCAGATGAAAGCTGGGGACTGGCTCTTCCCCAAACTGCACATACGCATAAGCACAAACAAACTGCACTTTCAGGGGCCCCCTGAGGCATGTACTGGCTGCACCTGGCTATGGACCCCTTACCTATTAGGAATTAAGCCCAGGGGAAGTGGGTGGGGCTTTGAAGGGGCCCCAGCGGGAGCCTAACCAGTCTCCTCTGCCGAGTGCTCCATCAGCATGGACACTGCCTCGTTCGTTAGCAGTGCTAGGCACCTAGCCTGGTTCACATGAGCATCTGTCTTGGGAACCCTGCTGGGTCAGGGGGCAGAGGGCCCCCAACAGGCAGGCCTGCTGCCCTGGAGGAGCCCGG